AATTACTTCCATATTTTTACAATTCTATTATACAACAACAAATACACACAATGAAGTCTAACATTACCGGTTAATGATGCAGGATTCATTTTGAGCACCACTATGTCAACTCAATTCATTCATGAACCTCAAGGAGATAAAGCAAACGTGCTTCGCGAATGGTACATTTCTTAGTAGTCCATTTGTCATGATCTAATCACTTTTTATCCTACACTTGACCATGATTGCACCTTCATTACAGGGCAAAAGTGTATCCACAAGTCCTGCTTGATAGGCAGGCTAGAGTACTTACTGTCAGATACCCCAGTGAAGAGAAAAAAATCTACACAATTGCAGGATTAAGAAACAAAAAGGTTAAGATTTCACTTCCAGTACTAGAAACTCTATTCATTAAGTAGTAATTATATATCTTTTGACAGCAGTTGATAATGTGTTCTTGCAAAAAAAAAAATACAGCCATCCAATACTATGCAAGAAGAGGTAGCATGGATAAGAGTCACCATACCTAATGCTGAACTTAACAAGATTCATGCCTATGCTGGTTGTCATGAATGCTCTAAACGCACAAATCTTCCTGTGGGATCTCGCTATCGTTGCACTGTCTGCAGGAAAACGGATACGGTCTCTGCTCACAAGTAAATTATTCCTATGCTCTTCCAATCTGTACAATATATATACTTACAACTGCTTCTAATTTAATTCCGTTCATGTTTAATAGAGTTACATTTAAATTTGAAGCAATGGATGACACTGGAGCTATGTCATTCACCACTTTCAATGATGACACAGAGAAACTCTTCAGAATGTCAGCAGCTGAGATTTCTAGCATGAAAAATACTATAAGCATCCCTTTCATTAACAAGTGTCTATGTTCTATTCTTTCATCTATTCACAAATATGTTCTCCATGTTTTATTAGTACTTTGTTAAAAGTAGTGCACACTCTTGGGATTGAACTTCATTCTGCATTCTTAATATTAATCACAACCAAATATATTGCAGCTCTATTCAAATATAACTTGTAACTTGTTTGCTCCTTGTGTTTTAAAATTCCATGGATTCCCTATACTATACTTCAACAGATACTTGAATAGGAAATGACTATACACCCTTTACACATTCCAGGAGAACTTAGAAGCTTTTGCAGCTATCCAAGAGATCCTTTCCACCAAACCATTCTTAATCAAGGTGGGGCCCACAAAGGAGTTGTCAATGAATAGTGTGCTCATTTGGACACTCAAATCTGTTGAAATAGAGGATGAAGCAGAACAACCTAAAGCTTCATCACCATCATCTGCAATGGATACAAACCAAGGAGAAGCTGTCACAACAGAACAAGAAAGGAAGCTACAGAGAGAACTGATGCTTGAGGAACGACTACATGGTAAAAAGCCTCTGGTAATGAGTTTAACTCCGTTCCTGCTGAACTCCAAAATCCAGCAACCAGAAATGATGCCAGAATTGCCGAACTTACTCAAATAGAAGAAATGAACTTAGCCTCCCAAACATTTGATGCAGACATGTTTCTGCTATCTGAGCCAAGTCTGGAGCCCCTACAGCTTCCTGAGATAAACACCCCACCAAAGGAAGTTCTCCCAAACTGGAATAAGCTCTCTCGCAAACGTAGCCCACCAAAAAGAAAAGAATCTACTGCTAATGATTCAAAAGAAAGCAAAAATACTGATGACACCCCACCTAAGAAGAAGGTGAAGATAGTGCTGTTTCAAGACACCCATGTTGAAGAAAGTCCTGATGAATTCAACTCTTCATCAACTCAGCCTGAGAACCCATAAAATTCTCAAGATCTTATGATGCATAGTCACCATCTTTTGCCTCTACTAATGGTGATAGTTAGCTTACACTTAATGTTGGTTTTATATATAAGTCTTTTGAGTGCCTGATTTATAGATAGGCCTAAATCTTTTGGGGGGTTTAAAAGGAACAAATGTGAACAAATATTGTTCCCTATAAACACCAGTTATGGGAGTAGTAATGCTGCTAGGTATATTAGAATATAAGTGTAAGCATAAGTGGTAAGATTAGTATTTTGGCAAGAATGACCCCTATCATATATTAGCATCTATGAAATGTACAAAGTAGTATTAGCATATTTTGCCTAATGAAGCAAAATTAATCTATGTACTGGTATCCTTAAATAAGGATTCATATAAATAATATTAGTAAATCTAAGTACTTTTCTTATGTCGATGATTCAAAGTTTACTGTTTTCTGCACAATCAACTGTTTGCAATTCATTTACATAAATATGCTATCAATCCATCTGACTTCTTTTATCACCTATGTCAAAGAAACAAGGTGAGATTTCAGACTACATATTCAGTCTGCTTAGTAAGAAAACAACACAGTACAACAAAAAAAAGTTCATCATGCTAAGACATATTAAGTAATTGTTCCCGAATTACCATTTTCACTGCCAACTAAAATTTCTCCATCCCTAGAACATCATTATGTAATGAAAATATAAAGACGAATTCTTTAATATAATTGGATTGTGTTATGTCTTTAAAAGCATAGCAAAAATATCCAAAACGAAAAAAACATAATAATAGCCAGAAGGTAGCAACTGTTTTCAAATTACAGTTACATGATATTTCACATTACAGTCACGTCTAAGTTACTAAAGTTCTAAACAAAACAACCTTCAAGCACCTTAATCCACTTTATTAGAACATTCCCTACATCCTTCACACAGGCTAATCATACTAGAACTAAATCCACATCGAACACTATAGGATGACCTTTCCTATATTTGAAAAGCCCAGCTTCATCCACCTGAACATTGTAATAGTCCATGAACTCTCTGACTCCATTCTTCAAAGAACATTGAATGATCTTATTCTTCTTCATCACAATCTTCAATTCAACATCAAACTGTTTATCAAAATTCTGTAAGACCACAGCAGTTGTTGGAGGGAATCCCATGAAATGATCTTTTGCAAAAGGCAGAGGAATATTCTGCCAGCACAAGATCAAAATGTTACATACAACAAACAAACACAATCATACAAGAGAAAACACCAATCATAATATACATTCATGGAATAAGCTTCACAGAGACTACAAATCATACTAATTAACTTCATAGCAAACTTACTATTGTGGCATGTTCGAAGTATTTTTGAGTGAAAGAAAACTTGAAGAAATCTTCATCAGACTCATCTGCAAGTGCATCGAGCCAGGCATTTGCCTCCTTCATTTTTTCAGAACTACCTTCAATAGCTGGCTTACGGCCACGCTTTTTGCTAGAGTCACCACATCCATGAGCTTGTCTTGCTCTCACACCCTATGGGGGTCCAGTACGGTAAATAATTCTAACCGCAAATGTATTATCACCATTATACTTAAACATTAGAACATCCCCAACATTTAAAGCATTGTCGTCCATAAAATCTGACCACCCTATGTCGAGATACATCTTCCAACCATTATCAAATTCTTCATGCAATAGAGTGACAAACCAAGAATCAGCATTACCATCTACCAACAGCTCAATGTTGAGAAAGCCATCTTCTAAGACCTTTTCCAACCCATCAGGGACACTTTATAACATATAAACAACAAAGTAAGCAGACATGAACATGCAAAGCCAGGCTAAAAATACAAACCTTACAACCTACAATGTTACAAAGATCAATCAATGATTCTAATATCTCAAAACTACTAATTAATTAAAATGCTAACAAACTAATATTCAATTCCACATCCAAAAACAAAAAATTATAGTTGATACGAGAAATTCCTTCAAAGCCAACAACATGCAATCGGATTAATTACCTCTTATTTCGATGCAATGAAACACGACACTAGATTGCAATAACAGCAACTCCGCTCAACCTAAACACTACCAGCCTAAACTGTAAGGATTTTGTATCTGTCAATCACCTGCACTCATCCTTCATCCCGCACAAATTCTCATTGCAAAACCAATCACCAATATCATACTTTATTACGCCCAAATTAAAACAGCAGGTTTACAAGCAATATATCACAATAACCCTAAAATTCACAATTCAAAGGATTATTGCAATTCCTCAGCCAACAAAAACAAACACAAGAGGACAAACACCACAATTAATAAATAACCCTTTTCAATTTCAAAATCAGAACATAAAACATATCACAACAAAACATCCTCAGGAAAAAACAAATCAAAGAAAAAACCCCAGACAAAATATGCAAAATACCGAATTCAACAAACCCTTAGTTTTGTCCTACCAGTTTCTCTCGAGTTTCTGCTTCCACGCGAATGGTGAATGACATTGGAGCTTCACCCATTGCACTTTAGATATCCAGAGAGTATATGTAAGATTTGTTTGAAAACAATATCCAAGACCTACGTTACAAGAGTATATATAACCTTATGGAGCTCAAAAGACTCAAGTTACAAAAGCATTAAATGAATTTTAAAAACCTAATTAATTAGGAAACACATATCTCAACGTCTATGCTTGTAATGCTAGCCTCACAGTAAGACAAATATTTCACAGTTTTATTTTGCCCATAGTTCAACTTACAAATGATTAATATTCCTTTATAGCACTGATATAAAATAGCAGTGCGTAGTTCCAAACAAAATGTATACTGCAATATTCCTCATCCCTTTATGCTAAAAACAAACAAGAATCAAATGATACATGCAATGCCTTTAACCAACAACTACATTGTATATATGTACATTCATTAGTGTTAAACCATATTATAAACATTATAACGCCTAGCTAAATCGCTGCATCAAAACACCGTTGACGTCACGCCTAGCTAAATCGCTGCATCAAAACAACGTTGACGTCATTCATAGCACAACGTTGGGGGGGCGCGCGCGTTGCGCGCGCACCAACAACTAGTGTATATATACATATATATATATATATGTATATACATATATATATAGAGCTAAGATCATATGAGAACCATGTTGAATAATAGGAACTAAGAACCTATCTGCACCGTTGATCACGACTCATCAGACGGTCTACATTAGACTCGCTTCATTACGGGTATTATCGTAATAATTCGCTTTGAATGACTACCCAGGATTTCCTCCGTTTCTTTTTTTTCTCTCTCTATTTTCTTTAGATTTTCTCTCTCTTCCTCTACACTATCTGTGAAGCGATTTTCTTTGATATGCTCTTCGATTTCTTCCGTTTTGTTCATCAATTTGTCGCATTTTCTTGTTAAGGTATGTAAATTTCGATTTATTAGTTTGTTTAATTTGCTCGATTCAGTTAAAGTTTGCTCAATTTGGTTTCGATTAATTCGAGTTTGAATCTAGGGTTTTAGCTATTTTTTGTTTGAGTAATTTGTGTGTTTGCATTTTTTAATCAGATTAATTGGTCAAAAATTTGAAGCTTTTTATACTATTTTCTGCTTTATTATTGTGAATTTGATATTGTATTTTCTTTAATTGAAGTTTTACCCCTCTTTGTGGCGAATTTTTCTCCAACGATATACAGCTAAGGTAAATCCGTAATTTTCTTACAACTTTGATTATTGAATTTCTCGAGATTTCAATTGAGTTTACTGAATTTAATATTGTTCGAATTGTGGATTTTCTTAATTGGATTTCTGGTTGAAATTTTATAATTCTGAATCGTTTTTTATTTATTTTTTAATTCTGAATAGTTTAATGATATTGTAGCTTATTGTTGTTTACTCGATTTAATTACTAGTGTTTTGGTTTGGTTAGGGTTTTCGTTTTTTACTTGATTTCATTGATTTTTTTAGTTGAGACGCTTAGCTTTGTATTATTGGATTTTTTTTTTATCTGGATTATGTTTTGATGCTTGTCTTTGAATTTTCACGAAAATTGTATTATGTGTGTCTTTTGATTATGTTTCAATTTTCTTTGCTTTTTGCTTTTAAATTCTTATTATTTACCTTTTATTTAGTTTGCTTTGCTTTTTATAATTTTTTATTTACTTTGTGGTATGGCATTGTATGTATAAATTGTTCTGAAAGTTGGTTTAAGCTATTTGCTAGCATTTCTATGTCTTTTTGTTGTATTTTGGAACTTAATGAGATTTTGATATCGATGTACTAAACATTTCTTAGCGTTTCTATGGTAGCTAGTATAGGTGTTATATTGCACTTATGGGTAGATGATGGCATACAATGTGGCGATTATTGATTTTATTTTTTATTCTGATTGTGATTTGGTGCATGAGAATTTGTTCATTTATTCCTTGTTTCATTGAATAGACTATTAATCTATAATAAAATAATTTTCTAAAATTTGAGCTCTTACTAGTGTTGATAAGGTTCCTTTTCCTCTCACTTCTGGTGTTTATTATTCACACAGGTGCGGAGATGGATGTCATCCCGCTTCACACTTCCATAACAAGTAGACTGAGTTATACTACATATTGTTGCTCTTGTACAATATGTATTACATACTATATTACAAGAGTAGCAGCAAAATATATTGCTATTAAGTTATATAGTCTTATTTGAGAAGACTATATAAAGAGCAGATATAGGGAATTGCAGATTGAGCTATATTACAAGAATAGCAGTCTGCAGATACAGGGAATTGCATATGCGTAAATGAACTAAACAACTTAGCTATCTGAACAAGTAAGAACGATCTAAAACCCCCAGCGAGTGTACATACACTTTATTGATTATTGTGTTTACCTTTTAGATTGTTTGGTTTACTTTTGAATAATTTTTATTTAATACATACGGATGTTTTATTTACACACTCAATTCTTTATGCTGCCTTGATTTGCAATGACTCTTTTTTGTCACTAACCTACTAGCTTAATTGGTAGGCTGCAACTGCTGCTCTGGAGGCCCTGCCAAGCCTGCAGCTGCTGCTCTGGAGGCCTTGCCAAGCCTGCAGCTGCTGCTCTACCAATGCTGCTTAGGTTGCTGCTACAGCTGCTGCCCCGACATGGCCTGCTGCTGCAGCTGCTGCCCTGCCATGGCTTGCTACTACAGCTGCTACTTTTGCGCTGCCAAGGGTGCTGTTGCAACTGCTGCTTTGATTTTCATTTTTTGATTTTATCTACTTTTTCAACATGTCCCTTCTCATTGTGGACATGGTCCTTTCTGCATATATATTAGGATAGTAATTAAGCTTTTCTTATTTACTTTTGAGTATTTTTATTTACTTTTGTGATTTTTCAGTATATAGACAAAAAAAAAACGATCGATTGTGTCAACTAATTATTCTTACTCTATAATAGCCTACTAGCTCAATAGTTAGAGCATTGTGCAAGTGCACAAAAGATGTGGGTTCGAATCCCACGTAGGTTCTTCTAACGCCTCGAACCATTGTAATGTAATTATTTTTTTTAATACTTTTGAGTTTTTCTAATTTTCATTTGAGTAAATATTAACTACTCTAAAAGTGAAATTATTTACTTAAATGATACTTTGAGAAACTGTTTAGCATTTTTTTAATTTACTTTAGATTAATTATTATTTACTTTTGACATAGTTTGCTTTAATTTTGATTTCTAACAAGATTATCTCCTAAACTAAGTACACCAAACTCGCCTCTTTGCACAAACCAAAACTGCACCCTTTGAGCCCCTCAAAACCACTTCAGCCCTGCACAAATTCTACTCACAAAATGAGCATATGTATTCATCACCTTTACATACCCAACAGGAGGGCATTTCCACGTGTTTACAGTTAGCTATGCTGTAGCACAAGGTGCATCACTAAATACTCTCTGCGCATAGATTAAGTACTCCTCCACCATCTTTTATTTACATAACCCGCAGCCAAGGCAATAGCATTAGGATTCGTGTTCTCAAATTACGTCTTATTTCTACATGTCCATGCCGCCCACATTAAAGTAGCTGCTGTCCTTAACTCACCAGAGCTTAATTTCAAAGCAAGCCAAACCCATCTTTCTATAAAAGAGGCAGAGGGTGTATCAGCAATCACAATAGCTAGAGGGTGATGCTGCCATATAGGAGCTGCCACCTTCCAATCAAAAATGGAATGAATTATTGTCTCAGAGCTAGCACCACGAATTGGGCAGATCGCATCCCCTATTATATGACGCTTTTGAAGCCTTTCTTTGACTGCCAGACTGCCTTTATAGGCCCTCCACAAGAAGTGTCTCGGGTTTGGTGGACCTCGTAGCAACCAAATCCCACACCAAAGGTTCTCCTCCCCACCATTTACCATCAGCAAACTGATCTTGATGACCCAATTTTGCAAGCCAATAACCAGATTTTACCGAGTATACACCTTCTTTAGAGATACATTAATTTACTTTTACTGCTTTTCTATTTACTTTTGAGATATTTTTTTACTTTAGTGTAATTTTTCCTTCATCATTAATCTATCACTTTGAGTGACGGTAAAGAGAGCAGGTGTGTCCACTATAGGATCGAGTTAACCTCATGTTACACTGATCATAAAAAAAGCAACCTCTTTTGTTTGTATACCTTAGAACTAATTTGATTTACTTTTGAGATGTTTTGTATTACTTTAGAGTGTCTAATATTTACTTTTAGAGATAATCTATATAGGAATCGAGCCTACACCTCTAAGCATCCGCATAGTGCTTTACCATTTGAGCTAATAGGTTTACTTTAAAGTCTTTTTTGTTTACTTTAGATTTGATTAAATTTACTTTCAGTTTAGAGATAACTGATGCAGGAATTACCTTATTCAACCTTACTCATCTTCTGTATTTTTATGTAGGATCATCTTTTAGAGCAAGATACATAGTTGTTATGTTACTACTTTTTTAGTTATTTTGAATAACTTTAGATTGTTTTATAATATTTACTTTTAGAAATATAACCTATGTAGGAATTGAACCTACATCTCTATGCATTCGCATAGTGCTCTACCACTTGAGCTAATAGGTTTACTTCAAATTCGTTTTTATTCAATTTACATTCTTTTTTATTAACTTCAAATTAAAGTCTTATTCAGTTTAGATTTTTTTTATTTAGTTAAAGAATGATCTTGATCATAGATGAGAAAACCTCCTCCATATGATGAGGATAAATCTGTACTAATGAAAATATAAATCTAAGGCCACATTTTACAAATTCAAAAGTTGAAATCAATCTCACCTCCTTCCTTTACACTATCAACCGGACAACCATTTCAGTATCTCCATACTACAATTGTTGATCCTTAAAAGCTGCAGCAGTAGCAATACCATCAATTATTTATTAGAGCACTACTAGTTTTATCATCTAGTTCTACATGTGCTTCATTTGGAGGCTTATTTGCATAGCTTCCACCCACACTAAATTGTGAAGACCCAAAGCTAAATTGTAAAGTTTATCAATAGTCAAGATATTAACTCTATTCTTTATATATAATACACAATACCCTTCAGCATTTATCCCATTCTTTACCAATATGTTATACTTTTAAAGAGATATATTTTACATTTGCTCAATTTTAGTTTACTAACACATTTTAGTCACCAAGTTATACTAGTGTCATTCTAATTTACAAAGAACATAAACACCAGAACAATTATTTAACAATCAGCACAAAACATGAGCAAGTGGCATTCATTATGGCTGAAGATTATTGAAAAAGTCCTCACCCATAAACTATTTGATCATCTACTTTGGCAGCTATTCAGTATACTTTTAAAGACATCTAGTTTACTTTAAGTGGAAATGTATTCAAGGCCACTTAAAAGTAACTAGAATAAAAATTCAGCTTGCAAAACACTTAATAGTTAAAGGATTTCAGGAAAAAAAAAAAACTTATTCTGTGATATACTTGTTTTTTTTTTTTTTTTTTTTTTTCTTTGAGCAAAATAAATTCATTATATCAATTAAAACCCTCACATCAAATCAAAAAATAAACCACGTTTGATATCAATGTCTCAAATAAGATCGCGAGGTGAACCAGCTCCAAAAGCAATTATAACATACTCTAAGCACCCATATACAACAAAAAGATTCACTAACAACAAAGTAGAAATTATGAGCATAAAAATCAAACACAAATAAGTTCCTAATAATTAAGTAACAACCAAAGAACCATGACATAGAAAGGAGGAAGTAATTGAGATATCATTAAGTCTTTCGATTTACTTAAAAATACAATTGATTTACTTTTACTTAGTTTCTATCTACATTTGAAATTGATAATATAATAGGATTCATTGGGGCATTTTGTCGAACATTTAGTATGTATCGCTTGATTTTGCTTAAATTTTGATGAAATGTAAACAGAAATTATTGAATACAAATAACAAAATTTAGAAATTGAATAGAAGTGAATTCGCCAAAATTTCGAGCAAAACTAATCAGATTCGAGCCTTAATTTTCTTTATAAAAAAATTGAGCCTTAAATTGACAAAATAAAAAATCCAAAGAGAAGGAATTCAAAATGTTGAATTGAAATCATACCTGTATTTGACTGAAAATTTGAGTCACAATTGGGAAACTTGGAAGCTGGATTTGGAGAGAAATTATGTTCTTGAGGAGAGAGAAAGTAGTATGAGTTTGTGAGAAGGGAAGAACGAGATTATCAATTTCCAACGCAACACGCGCAACTACATCTTAATCGTTAATTTTGCTCAGATCTAACGGTCCGTATTAGTTCCTAGTTCTTATAATAGACAAGGTTCTCATTATAACCTGATTATATATATATATATATATATATATATATATATATATATACATATATATATATATATATATATATATATATAGGAATAGGATCGTGTAAAAACAAGTGTTAAACAAAAAACTGAAAACTTTTAATCTGAGCCGTTCATCAAATCGTACGGCTGACATTTCTTTCCTCTTATTTTCAGACATTTCTGAATTTCTCTCTCCTTCTTAATTTCAGGTTATTTTCTCTCTCCTCTCTCTCCTTTCTTCTCTTTCGTACTTTCTCTCTCTTCAACCAGTTTCTCTGTTTTCTCACTCTACTTTGTGTTTCTCTTTCTTCGTTCTCTTTCTAAACGCGGCGGAAGGAGGAAATTTCACAAATTAAGAGCAAATTTTGGCGAAAAAACTCTAGATATCACAATTCAGGTATGATTATATTCGACAATTTGTTTGTGTTTTCACGAATTTTCAGCGATTTTTGTGATATGATATTTGCGTTTTTTCTGTTTCGATTTTCATGAATTTTGCATGAGTTCGATTTTTCTGATTTGATTTTAAGAATTTCGCATGGAGTTAGATTTTTTTTGAGTTCGATTTTTGCAAATGTAGGGTTCGATTTTTGCTTATTTTTGCGGATCTATAGTTCGATTTTAGATTTTGAATTTCAGAGATTTAGTGTTCGAATTTAGGGTTTGATTTTAGCTAATTTTTGCGGATTTTGATTTCGAATTAATGGCTGTTTGGGGTGCGAATAGCTAAAATGCGATTTGTGTGTGTGTGTCTGTGTATGTATAGCCACCGTGAATGCAGCAGTTTGTTGAATTGTGGTTTTAATTAAGTTTTTCTAACAAGGATTTGATTTTAACAGCAATTTGTATTGAAGTGCTGTGTAGGATTCAGCAGCTTATTGGTCTGGGTTTGGGGTTTCGGTGGTCTGGGTTTGGGGATTTCGGTGGTGGTGGTGGTCTATGTTTGGGGGTTTTGGTGGTGTTGATGGTTGTGTTGATGCAAGTGAGTCTGTGTGGTTTTCTTCTTTTTATTTTTTTCGAGAGGGGTAGGGGTTGGAATTACCAGGTAGACTTGTTAAATTATCCTGGATCAAAATTTTATAACACAATTGTTTGATGTACTATTATGATGACAGGACAATTTTATGGATTTCTTGGTTTGAGGTCATCACAGTTTCCAGCATATGCTCTTACGGTTGGTTTTGAATTCAAATAATGTGGAGTTACTTGGGTTGGGTATGATTTATGCTCAAAGGTCATAAGAAGCTGATTATAGCTCTTCTTACTCTTTGTCTGCTGCTGCAGAATTTAAATTGTAACAGTAGTCATTTGGCAAGCATGTATAGTGCATTAGCTATACTGAAGATCCTTGGCTATGATTTTTCTTTGTTTGATTCTGAATCCATATTGAGATCTATGAGAAACCTTCAACAATCTGATGGGAGGTACGCTTTTCTCATGCTTCCATTGCCCCTTCATACATCTAGTTTTTTGTATTATTCATTTTTCTCTTTCTGATGCCAACTTCTGAAGTTTTGAATAGGACCTGCCATCTTTAGGGCAAATGTAATGAACCCAAAAGGGGGCAAAAGACCCTTTAGCAAAAGAAGACAAAACTAATTAAGGGAGCACCCCTAAGGGGTGTGGCAACATGGGACTAAATTCTGATACTCTTGAGCAGTAAAGGACAAACATTATTAATATTAGATTATTTTTGTAGTTTTGCTTGATTATAAAAGGGAAGTAGCATAGCAGTAGAAAGGCGTGAGATTTGTATT